AAGGTATTTACATCTGTCTAGGAGACAGTTGCAGACTGGTATTCTTGGCCCCTCACTTAGATGTGCTCCCAGGAAGTGAGCTCCTGCAATACTTACACCAGTTCCATTCAGGAAATCAGAGAACTCCTATACTTTTACCAGTCCCGCTAGGAATGGCCCTGACAGGGTCCACGACCGCCTGTGCCACTGCAATAGGCATCCCACAAGTTCAAGATAACCAGCTCTCTACTGATCAGTCAAGAACAGCACAAGAGAATGTCCAAGAGTTATTTAAAAGGATTAAAGCTAGAGGTACAAAGGAGTGGCAATGGAGTTCCATGTGAACAACATGGGGACCCTGGCTGGCTCTGTTAGTGGGACCACAGAATGATAGTTTTAAGACTTCTATTAGGGCCATGCATCTTGAACACCCTGTCCAACCCTGCCCAGGTTCATTAAACTAGAATGAAAGGAATAAACCTACAGATAATAGTCCAGGAGTGCCAACCCATTTCTTCAAGATAGATTCCTAAGCGGGGCGGGGGAATGCAGTAGAATCAGGTAGAAAAGACCAGTTGTTAGACACTGATTTGTGGATGTATGTAGTGAACCACTTAAAGCATGCTTGTACAGCCTCTTGCCAAGCATGACTTCACTTACTACCTGGGACAGAATGACCTGAAGAAATAGTTAATAGGTCTTTGCCTTTAGCAACCTAACCACAAAAGCTTACACAAGTCGCCGGGCGGTGGTGGCGCACGCCTTTAATCCCAGCACTCGGGAGGCAGAGGCAGGCGGATCTCTGTGAGTTCGAGGCCAGCCTGGTCTACAGCGCAAGATCCAGGAAAGGCGCAAAGCTACACAGAGAAACCCTGTCTCAAAAAAAAAAAAAAAAAAAAAAAAGCTTACACAAGTCAACTGTGACAGGTCTTTAAAAACCAAAAGCTCCTGAGCTAATGGCTGTATATACTTCTGTTTGCTTGCCTGCTCACTTGCCCCACCTTGTGGTTTCAGAGTATAAAATAAAAATGCAAACTGGACTCAACTCTTTGAGGCGCGATCCTGGCTTTGGTCCACTGGTGAATGAACTTCCTAGCTGTCCTGGCTCTCATTGGTGCCAGGGTACTTATTCCTAAGAGACTCCTGCACCTTTATTACAGAGATTTTCTTTTATTCTTTTTTTAAAACATGATTTCTTTATTGATTCTTTGGGAATTTCACATCATGCACCCTAATTCCGCTCACCTCCCGGTCCCCCATATCCTCCCCCTCACCCCTGCAGTGCCTCCCCAAAGAAAATTAAAAACAGCTGGGCCGTGGTGGCACAAGCTTTTAATCCCAGCACTCGGGAGGCAGAGCCAGGCGAATCTCTGTGAGTTGGAGGCCAGCCTGGGCTACAGAGCGAGATCCAGGACAGGCACCAAAACTACACAGGGAAACCCTGTCTCAAAAATACAAACAAACAAACAAACAAACAACAAAGAAAATTAAAAACAAAAAAGACAAAGCAACCAACCAACCAAACAAAACCGAGAACAAAACAAAACCCCTCCCCCGCAAAAAAAACAAAAAAAACCCTCTTCTTTTCTCCATCTTTCCTGCCTCTCCAACACCTCTTCATTCATCTGCTGGCATTGGGAGCTGCAGTGTGTCACAGTATACCCTTTTGTCCAATCAGCTTTACTAGCAAATGTTCATTGCAATGAGTCAAGATAGATTCCTAAGCGGGGCGGGGGAATCTATCTTGACTGTACAGACCCTGGCATGGCCCAGATATGGCCCTTGGCAGCAGCCTGGGCCTGGACGTTACCATGGCCCCACGTGGCAAGCAGGCCTCCCACATCAGCCTACCCCTCACTGCCTTCACTATGGTCCCAGGTGGCAAGCAGGCCTCCCATATCAGCCTACCCCTCACTGCCTTCACTATGGTCCCAGGTGGCAAGCAGCTTCCTACATCAGCCTACCCCTCACTACCTTCATTTCTTCCGGCTGTCTCTTTCCCCAGCGCAGGAACCATTCACTTCTCTCTCTCCCATTTCTCCACCACATCTCTGTTCATCATAAAGGGACCCACCTGCCTGGTGCCACAAGGCCCTTGGATGTCTTCCCGCCAGCCTGGGCTATGGGTGGCTAGCACCCACCTGAGCAGAATTGCATGGCGGGGGGGCAGCAAGGTTTTATTTTCTATAAGATCTTTCTAAGGTTAAAGAAATGAAAAATTAAGAGATTATGATTATTTGCTTGGAATTACGTCTCATGTAATAATGGGAATTGAACCCAGGTGTAGTGGGAAATCTGGAAGAGCCATTGATTGTACCTGGCATTTACTCCAGAGTGATGGCGAACCTAGGCTTTGAAGTCATCTTTTGTAAACAACCAGTGATTGTTATCTGAGATTTATCAAGTTTTTTTCTGTAAGAATTTCAGAGCCTTTGCATGACTTCACTCGCAAGACATTTCCTGGCAAACCAGGAAGTCTTTTAATGGCTGAGAACTGCTTGGGTAATGAGTTCCTTCAGACAACTCCTAGATCAGATCTAAGGTTTTAGTACTGGAAAGCGACTTGCTGAAAATGCCTTTCGTGTGACAATCAATAAAATGGCTTCGGCAAGGCTGCTTGGGGTTCAATCCACAGACGCTGTTCCTCCCGGCTTGATTACATCACGGAGTTTGATCACATCACAGAGTGTCTCCCTTTGATCTTCCCACGTGAAACAGTTCACCAACACCTCGGCCCTTTCACATGCTAGGCAAGCCCTACCTCTCAGCTACATCCCCAACCCAAACCTCCTCTTACCTTTCGTTTGTTAGATGGGTTTTCACTAAGTTGCCCTTGAATTCCTGCAGCCTGAGAAGTCTTCGAGTTTGTGATCTTCCAGCCTCATTTCCTGAGTAGCTGGGGTTCCAGACCTGCACCACCAGATCTGGCTAGTGGAACTGTTTCTCACAGGATTTCTGCAGTACATCTTCAGTACTATTTGGTTGAAGAACCTCCAAATATTTTCTAACATTCCTTTCAATATTCTCAAATTCACAGATAACATAATCTACTTACACAGATAGTGGGAAAAATTAGTATAATGCCTAATGTATAGGAAACATTTAGAAATATTTTTATGAAATACAGTGATTTTTTTTTAAAAAAAGATAGGGTCTCACTGTGTAGCCTGGTCTAGCCTGAAAGGCTGACCTTGAACTCATGGAGATCCACTTGCCTCTGCATGCTGGGATCAAAGGCTTGTGCCATCACAACCAGCCAAGATACAGTGATATTTATTTCCATATTAAAATCCTTGATAAACCAGGTGGTGGTGGTGCACGCCTTTAATCCCAGCACTCCTCAGGCACATGCAGGCAGATCTCTGAGTTCCAGACCAGGATGGTTGGTCTACAGAGTGAGTTCCAGGGCAGCTAGGGCTACACAGAAAAACCCTGTCTAATACCAAAACAAATAAATACTTGATAGATATCAGAAAAGTAGAAAGGGGCCATAAGGAGCAAAAATAGCAGCTTTAAGGAAGATTGGTAGGGAGGGTAATAAAACACAGAGGACATGGAAATGAAAGGAGAATACTGTGGGTGGGAAGGGTTTAAGAGATGATGAGAGGGGTTGGGGATTTAGCTCAGTGGTAGAGTGCTTGCCTAGCAAGCACAAGGCCCTGGGTTCGGTCCTCAGCTCCGGAAAAACGAAAAGAAAAGAAAAAAAAAAAAAGAGATGATGAGGGTCAGGGGGATGGGGAGAATATGAGAATGTCAAGGAAAGTTTGAAAATGCCTTTAGGAAACTTGCCACTTTGCAGGATAATTAAAAAGCACTCATGCATTACTATTAAAGTCATAATGAGTTGCATATATATATATGTATGTGTGTGTGTGTGTGTGTGTGTATGCCTGAACTTACAGAATTATAATTGGAATTATAAAAAGTGATTCCATTACAAACGAAATAAAAATTATAGAAAACACTAAAGCCTTGTGTTAAGTAATTATATAGAATATTTATTTTTATAGGCAAAATAAATAAGTAATTCTAATTGAAGTAAAATAATATGACAGGGCCAGTAAGATGGCTCAGCAGATAAAGGCACTTGCCACAAAGTCTAGCCAAGTTTGATCCCTTAGACCCACATAGTGGAAGGAGAGAATCAACTCCTCTAAAGTTATCCTCTGTCCTTCACATGTACGCACACACCAATACACAGTGCACATACTCACACAATAAATAAAATGTAATGAAAATAATTTTAAGGGTTTGTTTTGTTTTGTTTGAGACAGGGTCTCTCTATGTAGATCAGGCTGCCCTCGAACTCCCAGAGTGATTAAATGTGTACGCCACCCAACGGGTTGGCTGTGGCACATCCCTTTAATCCCAGTACTAGGGAGGCGGAGGCAGGAGGATCTCAGTGCTCTGGGCAATCCCAGTACTAGGGAGGCGGAGGCAGGAGGTGGCACACGCCTTTAATCCCAGGATTAAACAGGGAGGGACAGGAAGGCAGGGTTCTGGGTTCCGGGACAGCCAAACTATATAAAGAGACTCCGCGAGTCTGTTAGCGTGCAGCCGCAACCGGGCCACGGGGTCGGCGGCAGTTGCCTTTACTTTCTGAGCCGTCTGTCTCTCCAGCCCGACAGACTTTTGACAAGCACGCTAGGCCGTGTCCCTCACGCACCGCGCAACCCCTACGTTTCCCTCTTCGCCCTGCGACCTGAGCCGAGCGGAAGTGACGCAAGGCGGCCGCCGGAGGTGTCGCGAAGCGTTGTGCGACCCGGTCTGCACCGAGAGGGGCCTGGACCCGGAGCGATACCGCTATGTCGATCGAAATCGAGTCTTCCGAGTGAGTACTGCCGCGGCTTGTCCCGGCGTGGGGTGGCGTGGCGTGGACGGTGCTCGAGAGGGCGTCCGAGGGGGCCGCGCGTGCGCCGGAGGCTGCGGCCCCGGAGACCTTCCCGGTTGGCTGGCCTCCTCCGGGTGCCCGCGGGAGGGCAGCTCCGGGGCGGGAAGCCCGGAGCCCCGCGGCCGGGTTGTGGGGCTGTAGAGGTGCACTGAGCAGACCTGATTGCGGTGCTTCCCTCTGCCCACCCAGCCGTCACTCCGCCGTCGGTGTGACCAGCGCCCCCAGGCTGCCCGTGAGGCCGCTTTTCCTCCTCGTCCCAGCACTAGTTACCCTAAAGGCTCCGTTGCTTCTACTGTTTGCTCAAACTCAGTGCAGCGCCGAGTTTTGGTTTGCAGCTTGTAGATGGAGAGCCTCTGTGCGGACAGAGAGACAAAATTTGAGTACTGGGGCAGAAGAATGATGCTTAGTGAACGGGGGCGGCGAGGGGCCAGGCGGGCCTGGAGTTACTGATTGAAGACTCTTTGGTGGACTTCTCCAGGATTCCACTCTCTGTCTTTTCTTGCTAACAAGTAAATGTAAATTAGCAGACATTTGTGTTCGGAGTGCAAGGGAGGTAGATCTGTCCTGAAGATCTGCAGAAGGGGGAGGTTTATTAAATCGACTGAGACTGAGACCTGCTGTGTATTGTTTAAGGCTGGAAACACGGAGTGCAGTGCGCACATCTATAATCCGTAGCACTAAAGAGGTGGGTAGGAAGGTCTTGTCATTTTTTAAACGAACCAAGATTTCCTACAGCAATTTAGATCTTCCTTCCTTCCTTCCTTCCTTCCTTCCTTCCTTCCTTCCTCCCTCTCTCTTTCTTTCTTATCTATCTACCTATTTACTTATTTGGCTTGTTGTCATTTTTTAAAATGGTTCAAGATTTCCTACAGCAATGCAGATCTTATTATGTATGTATGTATTATTGATGTGTTTATTTATGTATTTATTTATTTGGCTTCTCATTTTTTTAAATGGATCAAGATTTCCTACAGCAATGTAGATCTTATTTACTTATTTGATTTGCTCTTTTTTTTTTTTTTAAACGGACCAAGATTTTCTACAGCAATATAGATATTTATTTATTTATCTGGCTTGTTGTTGTTGTTGTTTTAAATGGACCAAGATTTCCCACAGCAATGTAGATGATTTTATCCATGTCTGTCTGCCTATCTGGCTTGTCATTTGTTTTTTTATTTGGATTAAAGTGTACATCCCCATTACCGGTCCAGGTATTTAAAAAAAAAATCATTGACTATTGTAGGTTTAAAGTGTCTCACACAAATGTCTAGTAAACCCAGTGATCAGAATAATAATGGCTACCAACTTTCTTTCTGAGTGGGAGACATTGGGCAAATGATTCCCCTCTCTGAATTCCAGCTCTCCTGTCTGTAGGTGGAAGTCCTTTGGAACCTTGATTCTGTGATTTTTTTTTTTGTGTGTGTGTGTGAAGTTTTACTCTCATAATTGACTAGAAAGTGGGTAGTAAAAGGACTGATCAGGAGAATTAACCCAAAAGGATTAATTTGGCCCCTGACGACTGGAGATCTCTGAACTGATGGATTTCTTTCTTTTTTCCAGTGTGATTCGTCTTATCATGCAGTATTTGAAGGAGAACAGTTTACATCGGGCGTTGGCCACCTTACAGGAGGAGACTACTGTCTCTCTCAATACTGTGGACAGCATTGAAAGTTTCGTGGCTGATATTAATAGTGGCCATTGGGATACTGTTTTACAGGCTATACAGTCTCTGAAATTGCCAGACAAAACCCTTATTGATCTCTATGAACAGGTAAGAGTGAAGTGATGTTCCTGAGGTTTGTGGGTTGGTCCTTTAATTGGGAAGTATCAGTGAGCCTTCCTTCAAGAGCTCAAGAGATATAACTGACTGTAAAATGCACGTTGTTAAAGACTCAACGGTGTGTTTTTTTCTTCCTTCTTTGAAGATTCAGGATTTTCCTAAATTGAAATTATTTCTTGGTATGGTTTTGAGGCTCAAATCCAGGGAAACTGAAAATGCTTTTTAGGTGAGCTGAGCATGCTGGTTTGAGACCAGGTGATCTACATAATGAGTTCCAGGCCAGCCAGGGATATAGAGTAAGACCCTGTCCCAAAACAAAAAAACTAAAGAGAGTGCAGGAGAGAAATATTCTAATATCAAATAATATAATGTGATTCAGTTAAAACACTGACCATCTGAAATTAGCACAAGCCACTGATTTTGACATAGATCTCCCTTACTTTAGATACTAGTTGCACTGTGTTGGGGTGTTTGGGTGGCAGGGTGGGGTGAGGGAGTGGGGATGGGTGTGTGTGGCATCTTTAGGCCACTAGAGCTTTTTTCTTTTTCCTTTCTTTCTTTTTTTGTTTTTTGTTTTGAAGACAAGGGTTTTTCTGTGTAGCTCTGGTTGTCCTAGAACTGGTTCTGTAGATCAGGCTGGCCTCAAACTCAGATTCACCTGCCTCTGCCTCCAGAGCACTGGGATTAAACCTATGGCTCACTGCTGCCTGACTTTAGGCCATTTAAGGTTTTGACCAACTGACTAAATTTGGGGACTCACATGACGTGCTCAAATTTGATAATTTACTAGAATGATCCATAAAACTTAGAAAAGCTCTGTATTTGTGTGATTAGAGTCTTATTATCAAAGACACACATCAGAACTAGCCAAAGGAAAAGACAGAAAGAACAAAGTCTGAGAGACCTGCATGTAGAACTTTGGTTCTGTCTCAGTGGAATCCGGTTGTGCCACCCACCCAGCAAATCCCCAGCCCGGGGGTTCTGTTGTGGTTTTATTATATAATCCTGCTGATCAATACAATTTTCAGCCTTAGTCTTTGTCTTCCACCTCTGCATTGGCACTTTGCCCCAGAGGTGGGGCTGGCTAAAAACCTTAACCTAATAATATGGCTTTTCTGGTAACCAGTCTCTGTCCCAAGGCATTGTCTTAGCATAAACCTTGGTGTTATTCAAGGGGCTCTGGAGTAACAGGTAATTTTGTCACTAGTAGAATTCTAAGGGTTTTATAAGGTCTAGGCCAAGACCCCAGGGCAAACATCAAATTATTATAAAACAACAAGCCAGGTGTGATGTTTCAAACCTTTAATCTCAGCACTTGGGAGGCGAGGGTGGCCTGGTCTACATATGAATTCCAGGCCAGCCAGGGCTGTATAGAGAAACCCTGCCTGGGGGGGGGGGGGGGGGGGGGGGGGGGGGAGAAAGAAAAGGAAGACTGATCAAGAGGATGTATTTTTCTTCCGTTGTCCAGGTGGTTCTGGAATTGATAGAACTTCGTGAACTGGGTGCTGCCAGGTCATTGCTGAGACAGACAGACCCCATGATTATGTTGAAGCAAACACAGCCAGAGCGCTACATTCATTTGGAAAACCTCTTAGCCAGGTCCTACTTCGATCCTCGTGAGGTAAGGATATGGTAGTGAAAAGACATCTTTGTCAATTGTGAAAATTAAATAATGTGCCCTTGCAAAATTGTTTTTTGTTTGTTTTGGTTTGGTTTGGGTTTTTTGAGAAGTCTCTCTGTAATTTTGGTAGATCAGGCTGGCCTCGAACTCACAGAAATCCGCCTGGCTATGCCTCCCCAGTGCTGGGATTAAAGGCGTGCGCCACCACCGCCTGGCGCAAAATTGTTTTTTTAATTTTTGTGTGTTTGTGTGTATGTGTGTGTGGGTGTACCTGTGTGGAGGTCAGAGGACACTTATAGGAACTGGTTCTTTTCTTCCACCGTGGGACTCAGAATCATTTCATCGTGCTTCACCCTTTTCCCACGGTGTGATCTCATCCACCGATGAGATGTAGAAATGCATGATTTTATACATACATACACACAAAGTTTCAACTTCCACTGGAGGGCTGTCAGAATAAAAGGAAGGAGAATGTATAGGAACTCAGAATAGAAGGTTAGATTTCTGAAGAATATGAGTATTTGGCCTTGCAAATACTTCAGAAACTAGAATCCCACCTCTATCTTTGGGGCTTACCTGGGCTCTTCAGGAAAGATAATACAGATAGATGATACCAGCTCTCTTCCATACTTCAGAAATGCAAGTGTGAAGAATTGGAAAGTTATTTTAATAATAACTGGATATTTTATTTTCATGTTTTCCTCTTAGAATGTCTTGTTTCCTTTGTTTTTGAAAAAAAATTTAATTTTTATTATAGTGTGTGTGTGTGTGTGTGTGTGTGTGTGTGTAAATATAAGTATGTATGAGTATGTATGTATGTACGTGTGTACTTGTGTGCAGGAGTCTGAAGAGGCCAGAGGTATAGAATCCCCCTCGAAGCTGTAGTTATAGGCAGTTGTGAGCTGCCTAGTGTGGGTTTTGGGAATCAACCCGTTTTTCTGGAAGACTAGTACGTGCTCTTAACTGCTAAGCTTTAAATATATACATTCATGCCTTGCTTCTCCTTGGGAATGATGCCACCTCTTCCCCTCCCCTCCCCCCAGGCATATCCAGATGGAAGCAGCAAAGAGAAAAGAAGAGCAGCAATTGCCCAGGCGTTAGCTGGGGAAGTCAGTGTGGTGCCTCCGTCTCGTCTCATGGCGTTGCTGGGACAGGTAATGAATGCCTGGAGAACTGAAATTACCCTGAACTCCTGGTACTGTTTCCTGTGTATTAGGCATATTTCTGTGTAGTGCTATTTGCTCCCCCCATGACCTTGGGCTGTATGGCCCGAAGGAGGCGGTGCTTCCTGCTGTTGTATGTGACCTCTTATGAGGAGTTGGAGAAGGGTCATAAGCCCCTTCTCCCTGCCCCTGCTGCGAGGTGGATTCACTCCCAGTCAGGTCAAAGGGACTTCTGCTGTCTACTCGGTTCTGTAATTGTGAGTGTATTTCCTCAATTTATATCTAAAAAGATTTTGTCACCCATTTAATAGACTCACATGGATGGATCGTACTGTTTCTGAGCTAAGGAAGTTGCACAGCCTGGGAATAGAGCCTACCTACAGGCTGACTGCTCAGCACCTGTGACAGGCCACCCCTCCTCCCTGGAGCGGCAGTGTAGACCAGCCATTCAGGACGTAACCGCTAGCATCATTTAGAATTATGTTGGAATGTGCTGGGGAACTTGGAATAGTGTTCATGCTCCATAGAATCCGCACTCTTACCAGCTCTGTGGTCCTGTCAAGCTGGGGCTGTTGCTGGGTTGGTCGGACAGACTTTGCTCCTGTGCGTGAGATTATAGATTTGCTCCCAACCAAAACCAACAGTGAGACTTTATTTTCTGACATATAAAAAGCATATATGTATTCATGGCACTGCTGTGAGATTTTGTATGTGTGTGCACGTGCACAGATCCCAACACTTGGGAGATGGAGGCAACTTAGAGAAGAAAGGATTTATTTCACTGTATACTCTACCAGCATCGAGGGAAGCCAGGGTAAGAGCTCAAAGCAGGAACCTGGACAGAGGAACTGAAGCAGAAATCAGTCAGTTTTGTTGCTTACTTGCAAGATGTCACTCATCTTGCTTTCTTTTTTTTTTTGGTTTTTTCAAGACAGGGTTTCTTTTCCTGGAACTCACTTGGTAGCCCAGGCTGGCCTCGAACTCACAGAGATCCGCCTGGCTCTGCCTCCCGAGTGCTGGGATTAAAGGCGTGCGCCACCACCGCCTGGCTCATCTTGCTTTCTTATACAACCTTGGACCATCTGCCCATAGCGGGCTTGGCCCTTAAATCATTATCAACCAAGAAAATGCCCATAGGTCTGCCACAGGCTAGTCTGATGGAGACAATTCCTAACTTGGGGTTCCCTCTTTCCAGATGACTGATTTGTGTGTCAGGTGCGAAAACTATCCATCATGAGTGCAAAGCACCCCTGGTTAGAGATGTTCAGGATGGCATTCATTAGATCAGGTGACAAGTCGGAAGCAGTGCAAATGTTCACTAATATATTAACTAGGTAAACTGAAACATCCAGTAAGTCATGTATTTGACAGCCACTAAAATGATAGCTTCGCAATTCCTAATACATATGGCATGCATATGTATGGTGTATGATATTAGATGAAAATAGATTAGAAATTTAGTGTATAGTATAATTACTAATAGGGCAATTAAACACATCATGTGAGAGGAAAATGACTAGAAGGAATTATTGTAAAATGTTATTAGTGACTGGTTTTGAGTCTTGGAACGCTGGGAAATTCCTGCTTTCCAACTTTTTATTTATAATAAAGGGAAATAGGTGTGAGATAAAGGTTTTTGCTTCTCAGAGTCTTCCATGAAAAGTTTGTGCTCTTGGACTCACTGAACCATAGACTGTTTGGATAGTCGGGGATGGAGGTGACGGAAAGCGTAGTCTCCCCTGGCCCTCACTCTTTCAGGCGTGGTTCAGCCTGAGCAGCAGTTGTATATTTATATTTAAAGCCGTGTTTCTTTTCTCAGGCGTTGAAGTGGCAGCAGCACCAGGGCTTGCTTCCTCCTGGTATGACCATAGATTTGTTTCGAGGCAAAGCAGCTGTCAAAGACGTGGAAGAAGAAAAGTTTCCCACGCAGCTGAGCAGGCACATTAAGGTAGGCTCTGATAAGCACTTAACGGTTGGTCATCAGTTGTTGAGAACTTATCATGTGCAGAGCCAGGCCCTGTTGCCAGGAGCTGGGTACCAGGGAGGAGAGCTCTGAGAGTACTCGGGGTTCTCTTGGTGTCCATTGGGGTACACATCATGTATACACAAGTTGATGAGTATTTGACATCCAGCCCATAATCCCATATTTGGAAAGATGGCCCACTCTGGTTAAATCTGGGACTGTATGAACGTTCTATGTACATGTCCTGTTAAACATTTGTGCCTAGTCTGCTGCAGTGGGCAAAGGACCAGCCGTGGATTGTAAAGCTGACTGTGATGTTAAGGAAGGTAATTTTGCCTTCTGGCTTTCTTAGTTACTGTGTGAGTGCATGCCAAGGATTAGACCTAGAACCTCAGCCTACCACTGAGCTATCCTCAGACCTCGATTGTGTTTGGAAACTCCTTTAGGAAAAGGCACAAATAGTTCAGTTCCCAGAATGAGAGGTATACGTAGTACCTTAGCTTCTCTAATTTTGTGCTCTCACTGAATGAATGGATTTTAAAACGCTGCATATTCATGGGGTTAAGAAGAAGGTTCATTGGATAAGATGCTTGCTGTGCAAGGATGAGGATTGGATTCCCAGGGCCCGCATAGATTGAGTGTGACAGCGTGCATGTGTAAGCGCAGTGTGCGGGAGAGGGAGGCAGATATTGGGGCCTTGCTCGCAAGTCCTTCTAGCAGAACATGGGGAGCTTCAGGGCTAGTGAGAGACTTGAAGAATAAGGTGGAGAGAGGTAGACTAGGACTCCTTGACCTCTAACCTCCACACGAGCATGCATGGGTGAGTGCACATGTGTGAACATGTACACATGCATGTACTGTACTGCACATACGCACACAAGGTTATTGCATAGTCCTTAACTCTGACTTTGGTTTAGTCTTTTGCATTTGTCTTTTCTGCGCTGTGTTCCAACTTGCATGTGATAATATTTTTGAGTAGTACCTTTATTTACCTGAGTTGAAGACTTCATTCAGTTAGAAATCATTCTATTGGTGCCACTGGGCTAGAATTTTTCTGGCATGAACATTTTGCGCGCGCGCACACACACACACACACACACACACCCGCATTAAATAGAGCTAGACAGCAGAGTAGTGGTGGGGCACGCCTTTAATCCCAGCAACTGGGAGGCAGAGGCAGGTGAATCTCTGAGTTCGAGGTCAGCCTGGTCTACATAATGAGTTTCAGGACAGCTGGGGCTACACAGAGAAACTTTGTCTTGAAAAAAAATAATAATAATTTCCAGTAATCTTTGCAGGCTGAGGTAGGAAGACTCATTTTCAAGGCCAGTCTCAAAAATATGGGCTGGGGATAGTTCAGTAGTAGAGCACTTGCCTAGTATGTGTGGACTGGGTCTACATCCCAGCACTAAAAAAAGGAAAGAAAAATCAACATTAGTCTTCTCTTGTTATCTGTCTGCTGTCCTGTGGTTTTCCTGACATTAGTCCTAGGTTTTCCACTAAAGATTCACTTTGTCTGTCTGTCTGTCTATCTATTTATTATGTATGGGTGTTTTGTATGCATGTATATCTGTGTACCACATGCGTGCCTGGTGCCTGAAGAGGCTAGAAGCGGGCGCTGGGTCCCTGGGGACTGTAGTCACGGGTGGTTCTGAGGTGCCGTGTGGGTTCTGGGAATTGAGTCCAGGCCCCGTGCAGGATGAGCCAGTCTCTTCACTGCTGAGCCCTCATCTCTCCAGCCCCTCGTTATCACATGATTCAATAAAGGTTGTGAAATAGTGATGAAAGTTTTATTTATACTCTTATTTTGAAAATGAGTTCTCCTTTCCTTCCAGATACACAGCGGAAACATTAAGCCGTGTTAATTTGTGAGTGGAAAGCCATTCTCATAGCTGATTCTGGCAGAAAGTTATGGTTTGAGCTAACTGAATTATTTGTTCTACATCTCATGTTAAAACAAAAATTTTTTTCCAGCTATGTGTGGTGATGTATGCTTGTAATCTCGGCATTTGGGGGTTACTGAAGTAGGAAGGTCTCAAGTTTGAGGACAATGTGGGCTACATTGAGTTCTTGGCCAGCTTAGGCCACATGGTGAAATCATCTTTGAAAGGACTTTGTGGACTTCTCCAATTTTTTTTTTTTTGAAACAGTTTCATTAAAACAGCAACAAGGTTTAGATATAAAACTGGTCAGAGAAAGCATCCCCCAGGTCCAGGTGTAGAAATGCCCTGTAGTACTCCGCAGTACGGGCCGTCTGTGACCCTATGCAAGGGCAGGGGTCTCAAAAGGCTGAAATGGGCCTTGTTTTAAGGCCATTAGATGACACTCTCGGTGTTCTCTGTTCCACTTGCAACAGTTTGGTCAGAAATCCCATGTGGAGTGTGCTCGGTTCTCTCCAGACGGTCAGTATCTGGTCACTGGGTCTGTGGATGGATTCATTGAAGTGTGGAACTTCACTACGGGAAAAATCAGGAAAGTAAGTATTTCAAATGCATTAACTTTTTAAGGAAGAATTGCTAATTTCCAGTTAATTATGTCTTATTTCTGAGTTAGATGATTGAAGAAGGATCTTTATGTAAGATGTCTTTTTATAATTTAAAAGCTCATTTTTTTTTTAAAGCTCATTTCTTAAGTTACTGAATTTTGATTAAAACGGGGGAAGACCTTTATTATCTGTACTTTTCATGGGTTTGTATAAAAATTGAAAACATGGGCTGGAGAGATGGCTCAGAGGTTAAGAGCACTGACTGCTCTTTCAGAGGTCCTGAGTTCAATACCCAGCACCCACATGGTGGCTCCCAACCATCTGTAATGAGATCTGGTGCCCTCTTCTGGTCATACATGCTGCATACAAAATAAATAAATAAATCTTAAAAAAAAATTGAAAACACTTTTTTACAAGTTATTTTGAATGAGTATATGTCTATCTAATATTCAGAAAGTGTCCTGAGGTCTTCAGGTGAAGTCCGCAGCTCTTGATCTCGGCCCTGAACCATCAGGGCTCTTCCCTGGTGATCACCAGGGTTACCCATTTCTCAGCTTTCCGGGAACACTCTGTGTGTGTCAGCAGTTACTTATGTGTCCTTTTAATAATGTTACACAGATGGCAGCACACATGCCATGCGCTGTATCTGCCCCTCGATTCCTCTTTGTAGTGTTTTTGAAATAATTGCTGAATTACATTGCATTGCATGGAATGAATCGTGATCTATTAAGAAGTCCCTTTAAGACTGTTGCCAGGCTCACCTAATTGCAGTACTAATTGTATTTTTCATGTGAGTAAAATGTATATGTAAATAGCCACCACAATTTTTAGTTCTGTGAAGTCTATGACCACACTCCCCATGTGTGTGCACATGTGAGTGTGTGCAGGTACACATGTACATATATATGCGTTTGTGTGGCAACGAGAGCAAACCTTGAGTGTTGTTAGTCAGGTGCTGTCCACCTTGTTTTTTGACATAGGGTCTCTTATGGTGTGGGACTCCTCAAATAGGCCAGCTTGCATGGTCAGCGAGATCCAGACTTAGCTCTGCTTTCTCAGCTCTGGATTAAAGATGTACACCATGTTTTGTTTTGTTTTGTTTTGTTTTTAAGATTTATTCATTATGTATATCGGCATCAGATCTCATCATATATGGTTGTGAGCCACCATGTGGTTGCTGGGAATTGAACTCAGGACCTCTGGAAGAGCAGCCCGTGGTCTTAACCTCTGAGCCATCTCTCCAGCCCCCCACCATGGTTTTTTTTTTTTTGTTGTTGTTGTTGTTTTTCCACATGAGTTTTGGGGATTGAATTTAGGTCCTCATGCTTGTAAGACAATAACTTCCCAGCCTCTTTGTTCATTTTCCTATTTTTTTTTTTATTTTTAATGGAGCGTTCTCTTTTAAAGAAATGACACTATGCATAGCAGGGGCTGGGAAATGGCTCAGTGGTTAAAGCACTTCTGTGCAAGTGTGAGGACCAGAGTTCAGGGACCCAGAACCCCTGGCTTCTAGTGACATCTAGGGTTCTGGGGGGCCGCTGGGACAGTGGTTTGGTTTTGTGTTAGTTTAATAACTGTTACTCATTACTTACTTTAGGATCTTAAGTACCAGGCCCAGGATAACTTCATGATGATGGATGATGCTGTCCTCTGCATGTGTTTCAGCAGAGACACTGAAATGTTAGCAACTGGGGCCCAAGATGGAAAGATTAAGGTATGGATCAGTGCTTGCATTTAGACATTTTCAAATTTTTTACTGGTGTGATACACATGACATTCACTACCAAAATAACACGTATTGAACATCAGTTGGATGCTAAGTCCCCTTTCTTTTTCAATTATTCGATTTTACTAACAATTCCATCTGGGATGGTCTATTAACATGTTTAAGGTCGCACAGTTGGTAAATTACATCTGGCACTTCAGTTCAAATCTGTCCATGTCTGTTGGTTATAGCCACTGTTTGTTATGTATTACAGGTTGATTCTTTCTATGTATGTATGTATGTATGTATGTATGTATGTATGTATGTATGTATCTATCTATCTATCTATCTATCTATCATCTATCTATATTTAAAGGGGATAGCTGTGGTTTGTTTTTAGTTGCTGATAATGTACCTAGGACTAGGTAAAACATGGAAATAGTCACTGCTTAATGGACTTGGCTACTATTTTTTTTTTTTTTTTTTGTCTTTTTTTGTGATGTTGGGGATTGAACTCAGGGCCTTGCAAATGTTAGACAAACACTCTTACCACTGGGTTGTATTTTGTCTTTAAGATTTATTTATTTTAGATGTATGAGTATTTTGCCTGCATGTGTGTATGTGTGTACCACTTGTGTGCCTGGTGCCTTGAGGTCAGAAGAGGGCATCAGATTCCTCTGGGACTAGATTTACAGGTAGTTCTGAGCCATTGTGTGGGTGTTGGGAATTGAACTTGGGCCCTCTACAAAAGCAGCAAGTGCTCTTAATTACGGAGCCATCTCTCAAGTTCAGCAATGAGTTTTGAATCTTTGTTTTAATAATTTATAAGGGAGTCCATATCATTGGACTACTGTAGTAGACATGCCAGACTGAACGGAAGTATGTATGCATCTTTGATGCCGTCTTGGTATATTAGTACTGCCTTGTGAACTGTACCTGTTAACACTTTATTCACAGTTTTCTTTTCTTCATAAAGGTATGGAAGATTCAGAGTGGACAGTGTTTAAGAAGATTTGAAAGGGCACATAGTAAAGGTGTCACCTGTCTGAGCTTTTCAAAGGATAGCAGTCAGATCCTTAGTGCGTCTTTTGACCAAACAATAAGGTAAGAGGAATCCTGTACTGTCCTCATGACAATTAAATAAAAGAAGGCCCCAGCAGAAGAAGTCACTAGTAATTCTTAATGCTGTTTCCAGGATGGGGTGATATGGAGAGCGAGGGTATGTGAGGCCTTATTTCCTCAGGTTCGGGTGGCACAGCACTCTTTATCCAGAAGGGATTGGAAAGGGTGAAATAGCAGTGTTTCATGTTCTCAATGTGTGCTCTGTGAAGCTGGGTGTGGAGGTGGAAGCTTGGACTCCCTAGTGAAACTCTGTCTTAAAAAACAAAAAATGGGGGGCTAGGGAGATGGCTCAGAGGTTAAGAGCACTGGCTGCTCTTCCAGAGGTCCTGAGTTCAATTCCCAGCAACCACATGGTGGCTCACAACCATCTGTAATGAGATCTGGTGCCCTCTTCTGGAGTGCAGACACACATGCAGACAGAACACTGTATACATAATAAATAAATTAATTCAAAAACAAAAACAAAAAATGTGCTGGGCAGTGGTGGCGCACGCCTTTAATCCCAGCACTCGGGAGGCAGAGGCAGGTGGATCTCTGTGAGTTCGAGGCCAGCCTGGGCTACCAAGTGAGTTCCAGGAAAGGCGTGAAGCTACATAGAGAAACCCTGTCTCGAAAAACAAAAACAAACAAACAAACAAACAAACCAAAAAACAAAACAACCAACCAACCAAAGGTTGTGGTCTGTGGAGCCACCTGTGTCCTCCTCACTTTAGAGGACCTCTTTACAGATTCCTGGGACCTAGTTGAGACGGCTTAGACTCTTAGTTACTAGTCTGGGCAGAAGCCTGTGGGTACTGATACTTCTTGCAGTCTCTTGCTGTGCAGTTTGCATTTATTCTGTTTCATTGTTTGACATAATGGAAAGTATACTGTGTACATTTCTTATTTAATATTGTAATACTTTTATAATTCATCTAAAATGCATTCAGCTATTTGCTTCCAAAATAGCATATTGAATATTATTCTTTTAATTGTATTTGATAGAATTCATGGTTTAAAATCTGGGAAAACACTGAAGGAATTCCGAGGCCATTCCTCCTTTGTTAATGAGGCAACATTTACACAAGATGGACATTACATCATCAGTGCGTCTTCTGATGGCACTGTGAAGGTAAAGTGTCATCACTGGCTCATTCTGGGATGTCTGCTTCACTGTTGCTTTTAAGAAGGTAGCATTGGTCAGCATGGTCATGATACAGCTGTGAGCCTGAGACAAAAGTATGCTGTGGGTGTTCCCACTCATATAACCTCAACTCATACAATCCAAGCTTTGTCATGTGTAGAAAGAGTTCTTTTTTTTTTTTTTGAGCTGAGGATCGAATCCAGGGCCTTGCGCTTGCTAGGCAAGTGCTCTACCACTGAGCTAAATCCCCAACCCTAAGAGTTCTTCTAAACGTAGTGATCCTTCATCCATAGATACATCTGTCTTCCCAGGAATATTAGCCACCACTTAATAATCAAATTCAGAAACACCTAAGTGATCAAACAGATCTCCCTTTCTCGTGTTTCTCCTCAAATTTAGCGCTTTCCTAATATTTGAGGAGGAGTGAGGGAGAGAGCATAGAAATAAGAGCCTCCCAGCAGTTTTGAGATCAAGGCAGAAAGACTGCTCCAAGTTCAGTGCCAGCCTAGGCTGTATAAGTAAGACCTTGTCTAAAAACCAAAGGGGCCGGGGAGACAGCCCCGCGCCTCAGAGTGCTTGCTGTTGCTGCCGAGGACTCCATTCAGTTCCCAGCACTTAGATGGTGGCTCATAACCATCTGCAACTCCAGTTTCAGCTGGTTCAGTGCCCTCTTCTGGTCTCTGGGGCACTGTATGCTTAGGGTGCACATCCATACACGCAGTCAAACATTTGTATCCATAAATAAAAAGAAGTAAATTCAGAACTTTCAAATAATCCTTGCCCAACATATCTCAACTGAAAGTATTGGGTCTTTCTTCAATACTTTCAAGATTTAGTTATTTCAGGGGCTGGGGAAATGGCTCAGTAGTTAGGAGCATTTCTTGCTCTTCCAGAGAACTGAGTTTGATCCTTTATGTTATTAGGCAGCTCACAACTGCCTGTAGCTCCAGCTTCAGGGGATCAGATGCCCTTCTGGCCTCCTCAGGTACCTGCACATATGTAGCCTATGCTTACACAAACACGCATGAACTTTTTTTTTTTTTAGACAGGATCTCACTATGTAGCCCTGGCTGTCCTGGAACTCATTATGTAGACCAGGCTGGCCTTGAACTAAAAAGATCCACCTGCCTCTCTCCTGAGCACTGGGATCAAAGGTGTGCGCCACCACACCCATCCTAAATAAAAAGGGCCTTACTTCTTGGTAAAGTTGAGAAACTCCAGTAGAAAATTGCTGGAAACCTTAGCACACTTGATTGCTGAGATGTTAATTTTTCTTAGGCAACTGGTCTCCAGAATGTGGCAGGTAACCATGTTTACCCTGGACATCTAGTGGGGCAACTCTTCCTGTTTACAGGTGTTTAGAAGCCATCTGTGTTGTACAGAGCTGTTAATCACAGAGAAAGGGCACGGGGTATGCTGTAGAGGCTCCTCTAGCTCCTTAGTGAGGGGGTCTGAGCATGCCATGCAATCCTTGGTCAGTCTCTTCTATAAGCACATCACAGACATTTCAGGCTGTCTGACTTGACTCTGTACATAAAGTCTAGAAGGACAAGGTAAAAACTGAGAAATAAGCCGGGCGGTGGTGGTGCACGCCTTTAATCCCAGCACTCGGGAGGCAGAGGCAGGCAGATCTCTGTGAGTTCGAGGCCATCCTGGTCTACCAAGTGAGTTCCAGGAAAGACGCAAAGCTACACGGAGAAACCCTGTCTTGAAAAACAAACAAACAAACAAATGAACAAACAACTGAGAAATAATACAGGTGGCTGAGTGGCTTCTGCCTTTTGGACTCTCATGTATGTGCCAATACTGTGATTTTTGACCATATTCACCTCAGCTTCACCAAATGGGAGTTTTCAAGATAGGGTGCTAAGCTAATGTCTCTTTTGGTTTTAATGCCTTTGATTGTTTTTTGTTTGTTTGTACATGTGGATATATACTTGTTTCCTGTGCACCTCGAGGCCAGAACAGAGGTCAGCATTGGGTGGTGGTCCTCAGTTGCTTCTCCATGCTACTCGTGTTATCTTTTGTGGGGTGGAGGGGTTCAAGCATGCACCACCATGCTCAGCTTCCAACTTATTGAGACAGGATTTCTCACTGAACTTGGAATTCAAAGATTCAGATGGATTGGCTGTCTGGAAAGCCCCAGGGGTTGTCCTGTGTCTGTCCCAGTGCTGGCACCTAGGTTTGATGTGGTTGCTGGGAATCAAATTTAAGTCTTCACACTGAAGTGCCTAACAAGCACTTTCCTGAGCCATGTCCTCAGTCCCTGGGTAACTTTCCCCACCCTTCTTTCCTAGACTATCCTAGAATATTGTACTCTTTCTCAAACTAGGGATCCTTTTGCCTCAGCCTCTTGATGGTTGAAATTACAGTTATGTACCATCATGCCTGGTATTTTGTTTGGCTTGAGACAGGATTTTGTTATACAGTAGCCCAGATTGACCTTGAACTCTCTGCTCCCTGAGTGCTGGGATTAGAACTATGTGCCAGTGGGCTATCTTCTGGCTGTTTATAAAGATAGCATGATCCTGAATCATAAATGGTGTTTATTGTTTAGTTTGTGGTTTTCATTTATTATTTATTAAGCTGAAGAGTGCTTACTATACATGTGGTAGTGTAGTATTGGTTATTTGATTTTCTTAAAACCTAATTGTTAATTTTTAAGCCTTAACACTTTAGAGATTCTCATAATCTAATGTTACGCTTTATATTGTTGTGGTAGATCTGGAATATGAAGACCACGGAATGTTCAAATACCTTTAAATCCTTGGGCAGCACTGCAGGGACAGACATTACCGTCAATAGCGTGATTCTGCTGCCTAAAAACCCAGAGCACTTCGTTGTGTGCAACCGGTCAAACACAGTGGTCATCATGAACATGCAGGGGCAGGTGAGTACTCAGGAGGTGCTTCCACATTGGACTGGTTCTGGCCCGGACTGTGACCAAACAAGGGCTCACTGGTTCTAAGCTATATAAGTTGCTGTATGTGTTTATAGACACACATGCAGAGGTACATTCTTTCTCCAGTGTGTGTGGTGCTTTTTCATCCTTCATCTAATCTGTCTTTTGTTTTTTGAGACAGGATCTTGCTATGTATCTTGCTCTTCCTATCTCAGACTCCTGAGTATTGGGATTATAGGTGTACACCACCATTCCCAGCTCTGGTGTGTCTTTTAGCCTCCTTTAGAACTGACCTGAAGATTTTCAGTTGGCAGCGTTCCCCTTTAGGGAGGTCCAGTGTGGTGTGGATAACTCTCTTGGGACATCTAACTGCCACACAAGCTAACATGGGATACTAATAGGAAGAAAGCAGTGTGTGTCACTGTGTAGCCTAGGCCGGCCTTGAATTCTGAATCCTCCTGCCTCAGGCTCCCAAGTGAATTTAATGTTGTATATCAGAAAGCAAAATCTTAGTGTTCCATCCTGGGTAGGGGATGGGCATTGCTTCTGTTAAGAGTGGACTGGTGAACGTAAGTCTGGGTAGCACTGAAAACTATAGAGGTGTATTGATTTAGAAAATGATTGTATGTTGGCTGGGCGGTGGTGGCGCATGCCTTTAATCCCAGCACTCAGGAGGCAGAGGCAGGCGGATCTCTGTGAGTTCGAGGCCAGCCTGGTCTACAAAGCAAGTTCCAGGAAAGGCACAAAGCTACACAGAGAAATCCTGTCTCGAAAAACCAAAAAAAAAAAAAAAAAAAAAAACCAAACAGAAAATGGTTGTGTGTGAGGTGATGATGTTCCTCATGAGAACATGGTCAATAAACTAATTGAAGGATGGGGCTGGTGACTTGGATGCAAAATTCAAAATTTCTGTTTGCTGCTTAACTTTAGTTAGCTTATCTATTAAATATTTTCTGGCAGGAAGATTTAACATATGATGAATGGAACTGGCAGTAGTTACCACAGTACAAAATAGCAGTGTAAAAATGTCCATTTTTAAAATGTTGATTGTTTTCTGGGTATGTGACCCAGGCCTTTAATCCCAGCACTTGGGAGGTTGGAGGCAGAAGGATCAGGAATTCAAAGTCAACCTTGGCTGCAGAGCAAGCTTGAGCCCAGCCTGGCTACGTGAGCCCCTGTTGCCCACAAAGCCCTCATTAGGGCGGTGACATGGTAGTTAGCATGCTGCCGCAGCTGACCTGCTACAAACTTGGTGTTGGGCTTTTGTCTAGATTGTCCGAAGCTTCAGTTCTGGGAAACGAGAAGGTGGTGACTTCGTTTGCTGCGCCCTCTCCCCCCGCGGTGAGTGGATCTACTGTGTGGGGGAGGACTTCGTGCTCTACTGCTTCAGCACAGTCACTGGCAAGCTGGAGAGAACGCTGACGGTGAGTAGTAATTGTGGGGAGGCACGTTCTCTGAACTCCGGAAGTACAAGCCTTCCTCAGGGAGGCCGTCGTCAGTGGACCTCCTTAGAAAACATGTTGTGGCGGTATTTACCAATAAATATAGTTGAATAATTGTGTTATAGTAGAAATCAGGTGTGTCATAGTACAGTTTGGCTTCAGAGAAAGAGGGTGAGTGTACAGAAAGCAGAGAAGGGACAGCTTGCTAGCTAGGCCACAATTTCTGGGGGAGAGGGTTGGAGAGACAGGCTTTCTCCATTCCTCTTGAAGGTTGACTGCTTGCATATTAGCCTTCCAGACTGATTGCTTTGGAGGCTTTCAGCCTTAGGTTATCAAAGTTTCAACTAAGTTGAAGATATTATTGAGGAGCAATTTTTTTCCTTTTTTTTCCCCCCAAGACAGGGTTTCTCTGTGTAGTCCTGGCTGTCCCAGAACTCACAGAGATCCACCTGCCTCTGCCTCTTGAGTGCAGGGATTAGAGGCATTTGCCACAGCCTGGTTTATGAGGAGTAATTAATAGTAATTAATGCCAGTTGCTACAATAACAAATAGTCCCCAAATCTTAGTGGGTTAGCAAAATAAAAGCTTTATTTCTGATTATGTCACAATGTGGTGTGAATTGGGGAGCCCTCTTTAAGCAGTGCCATTTTAGAATATATGACCTCTCAGGGCCTCTTTCTTTCTTCCCAGCTAACTCTTGAGGCCTCTTGAGAGTGCTTTAAGTGGGACCTGTGTGCACCCTGACTGCTTTCCATGTTCTAGGTTCACGAGAAGGATGTGATTGGAATTGCACACCACCCACATCAGAACCTGATTGCCACCTACAGTGAAGATGGACTCCTGAAGCTCTGGAAACCCTAAGTCATCTTACAGTGCAGCCAGGGAACGTGCTTACGTGGAGGAGTGTCCATGTGCTACTTTTTCATGTCTGCCTTTGTAAGCAGACACCGTCTGAATAAGTCACAAGAATAATTTTGCTAAAATTCATGTTTAAACAGTAGTTATCATTTAAAACTTTTTCTTTGAGACAGGGTTTCTCTGTGTAGCCCTGGCTGTCCTGGAACTCACTCTATAGACCAGGGTGGCCTTGAATTCACAGAGATCTGCCTGCCTCTCAAGTGTTGAGATTAAAGGTGTGAGCACCCACCACCTGGCTTCCATTTAGAGTGCATTTCAAAGGCTTTAGTTTATCTGCTTTTAACTGGGAAGTCATTTAATGTTTTCAATAATCTTCTACCAAAAGACTTAAAATACTATTATTTCTAGAAGAAAAACATATTTGAAATGCTTATTAAAACCTGTGTCCTAGCATAAAATGTGTAAATAAGTCACTATGCCATATTCAGTAGCTGGGTTTTTTAAAAAGGATTTTAATAAACTTAATACCTTTCTGAAGACTTTACCACAAGTGCTCATAGGGAGAGGGAGAATCATTATTCTTGAACCTCAAGTCTGATATTCAGTTCCTGGGATAGTGTAAAACAGACTAACATGAACAAGGCCTGGTGACACAATCACATTCTGTTGTTAACCTCTTTCTGAGCTCTGCCTTTTATGTTCACACCTACTTCAGGGAAATGTAGCTCTCATATTCGGGTTGGAACTAGCTACACGGTGGCTAATGGGGTTTGAAGTTTGGGCATCATTCTTCTCTGGAGGATGATTTGGCACCGAAATGTACTGTTGAGAAGAAAAATTAGAAAAGGACCTGAGATATAAGTCTCTTGAAATGTGTATACTGATCAGTTAGCTGAATAAAGATGATATTTCACAGTAAACTCCTGAAAATGGACTCCATCTTGGTGTCCTTTACATTTCAACCAAAGATGTAGAGAGCATTTATAATGTATGAAGATGATGATGCTGGGCTGTTCAAGAAAGTGAGGCCTCCTCCTAGGCTTTCCATTGATAAAGTCATTCCTAAGTGTTACTTTTGGGCTAAGGCTGTAGCTCCCTTGGTAGAATGCTTGCCTAGCATGCATGTCTTTTGATTCCCTAGTGCCACATACACTTGCATGCCTATAATCCCAGGAGTTGGGAGGTGGAGGCAGGACTAGAAATTCTAGTTAGCTCTATATGTTCAAGCCTGGTCTACAAGTTGAGTCAAGGAAAGTCAGGGCTGTTATACAGAGAAACCCTGTCTTGAACTCCCACCCACCAAAAAAGTGAAGTTTAAGGTTAACCTGGGAGGCTGTATAGGGAGACCCTGTCTGCCTTAAAGGGGAGAAAAAAAAGGTAAGAATTTGACAAGTTGGGAATATGCCTATAATTCCTGTACTCAAAAGGTGGGGGCATTATCAGTTTTAAGCTCAACTAGGGCTGTCTCAAAACAACAGGAACTGCAGCATGGTATACCAGTAAGCTAAGTAAGGGATAAACTGGTAGTGTTTTTAGTTGCTGGGATTGTAGGCATGTACCACCATACTTGGAAAACAAGTTCTAGCACACCTCCTGTGTTCATCCTTCAGCTACTTTTGGAAGGAACTTGCAAGACTGGCCTTTCTTAAGCCCCTTGTAGCCAGCTTTCTCCAGGGCTGAAGGTAGGGATCACCCTCCCTGAGTAGCCGTCCTGTGCTGAGGCAGCCTTAAGGCTGATGTCTGCCCTGGACACCCGCTTCTCATTGACGTGGCCAAATGGTGAGAACCTCCTTACATGTGGAGGTACAGGATGGGATCTGCTCAAAAGCTGCTGACATCTGGTGGCACCACCATTTTTAACCTTGCAACACCCCTAGCCTGAGGTTAAAGGCCCTGGAGTAGGGTCTAGTGGAAACTCAATGCCTGGGACGTCATTCTGAAAATTAAGTCAGGTGCCAGGGAGGCAGCAGTCCTCGTGGTGTGGCCCACCAGACAATGCTGCTATTAAATTCCACCAGTGGTGTAAAAAAATGTGTTCTGTCCCCTACTTAAGTTGACAGTCATGATGAATGACATTCCGGGGTGATGTCTTAGAGATGCCAACAGTGTAATTCTTGGTGTAGTTTTCTTGCTTCACTGCTTGTGTCTGAATCTTGCAGTCAGTTTTCTTCTAGGTTCAAGCTGACTCACAGTCTGAATTTTCTGTTAAACATTTACCTGGGGGCTGGCCATGGTAATGAACAGAAAGCAGAGCAGCTAGACTGCAGTCTGCATTCCTTTTTTACTCACCCAGTAGCTTGTCTGAAAGACCTTCTCAGGCCCCACCCTGGTCCTACACAAACTAGTACTGAGACCCGTCCAGCAAGCATATTCGTACACAGCATTCTATGTGATCTATTCAAGTAGGTGTTTTCATTTTCTCTTTCCAAAGGTCCCCCCTAAATAAATGCTAAAGGTACAATAACTCCTGTATTGTACAGCTTGTTAGCATCCCACATCTGAAAAGCTTCAAGTACAGTATGTTCAAGGTGGCATGCTTTCCTGGTTTAAAATGCTCAATAGCAAGCTGGATGTAGTGATGCATGCCTTTAATCCTAGTACTTGGCAGGCAGATCTGAGTTGGAGGTCAGTCTGGCATACATAGTTTTGGGACAGCCCAGTAAGACCCTGTTTTAAAAAAACAAGCCGGGCGGTGGTGGCACACGCCTTTAATCCCAGCACTCGGGAGGCAGAGCCAGGCGGATCTCTATAAGTTCGAGGCCAGCCTGGTCTACAGAGCGAGATCCAGGAAAGGCGCAAAGCTACACAGAGAAACCCTGTCTCAAAAAAAACCTAAAAAAAAAAAAAAAAAAAAAAACAAACAAACAAACAAAAAACACTACCTCAGTGGCAAAGCCTGACATATAACTTGCCAAGTTTGTTTTTCAAGAGTCAGGGTTTCTCTGTAGCTCTGGCTGTCCCAAACTCACTTGCTCTGTAGTCCAGGTCTCAAACTTGAGATCCACCTGCCTTTGCTTGCCCGCCCGCTGCTGCTGCTGCCGCCGCCGAACTGGGACTAGAGGCATATACCACCACCTAAAGTCACAGCTCAGGTCACCAGAATTATGCTTTTACCAGCTCAGTCACCCTGGCTTGTTTAGTGCTAGATGTAACCAAGCTGCTATAAGTCTTAACTGCAGTAGATTGCTAAAATCAGAACACTATCACCAGTGATTATATGGCTTGACAGCAAATTCAAACCCAATACAAATCCCAGGCCTTATCCTGCCCTCGGCCTCCTAAATACTGGAACTACAGTCATGTGCCATCGTGGTGTCTGGCTGTCCTAGGTGATTAATACAACTCTATCCCCATAGTTTTCAGCCTCAGCTGCACAATCATCGATGTTCAGGTCACTACATACAACCCAGCTGTACCCAAACCCCCGCAGGGTAAGGCCTGATCAGTGTTAAGTTTCCTAGGCAGTTCCATTCACAGCCAATACTGAAAACCAAAGAAACACTGAAGGCTTGGGAAACCTTTCTATGCCAAGCTTGGATATTTGTTTGAGACAGGATTTCTGTATGTAGTAGCCCTTGCTGTCCTGGAACTCGGCTCTACAGACCAGGCTGGCCTTGAACTTGGAGATCTGCCTGCCTCTGCCTCCCCAGTGCTGGGATTAAAGGCATGTGCCACCACACTTCACCAAATTGAGTTTTAGTGTGTTCTGCTTGCATGTATGCCTGTGCACCACCACACTTCACCAAATTGAGTTTTAGTGTGTTCTGCTTGCATGTATGCCTGTGCATGGTGCCTGAAGTGGGTGTCCGATCCCCTGGGACTTGAGTTGCAGACAGATAGGAGCCACTCTGTGGGTGCTGGGAACTGAACTTGGGTCTTCAGTCAGTGCTAACCATTGAGCCATTTCTCTCACCCCCTGGTATTGCTTTTTTAATTCATATGTTCTCCCCACGAAGAAAACCTCATTCTACTTCCAGACTGGAAATGTGTTTAAATTCCTGATTACAAAAGATGCGGCAGACCCACGTACAGATTGTATTGGCATGAAATTCACATATTCTTGCCCAGGTGGTGGTGGTTTTCTTTTCTGACTTGGGCTTAGACCTATAGTTTTACTCCCTACCCATATATATTAATCACTTGCACATTTCAGGAACAAAGTAATAATCAAGTTATATCCTAAAAGCAAAGCTTTGAACTGAGAAAAAAGGCCTGCAGTGACACACTGGAAACACTTTGTAATCAGTATATTAGGAGACAGTCATACATTTCAATTAACTGCTTAAATTCTGATATCCAGATTTAAGCATGTGAACATGTGACTTTAAAACATACAACAAAGCTATTCATAATTTGCTATATACTACCAACATTAAATTGCAGTTACGTTGAAGCCTAAGTCAAATAGCAAGCCTGTAACAGACCCAAGGAACGCCTTTCCTGGATTATACATGCAAATCACTTCTTCACATACAAGGTCTCTTCACTTTAATTTGTAAATTACTTGGGCTTTGGAAGTCACTACCCAAGGGCTTATCATGGTTGAAAAGGGAAGAAAGGTGACCATGTTTTCTAACTGTGTGTATGTATTTATGTATATATACTTTTAAAAGATGGCACAGCAGAAGGGACTGCAATCTAGAAGAGCAAGCCCTTAAGCAGTAGCTTACGATATACTTCTTTAGGAATGTATCATTTCTATCACTAACAACAGGCGAAATTAGGTATTATGCCACCTTCTAGTAATGGCTGAGGCAATACAATGCAAAGGCATCACAATTAGTCCACTTCATACAACTAGACAGACCAACATGTCACTACTAATTGTTTTCTTTTTCTGATTACCATTAAATACAGCATTTTAATTCCACAGCTTAACAATTAAGGGTCATATAACACATACCTAGCTTGTCAGTCTAATGTACACAGCTATTATCAGTTACATAAGATATGACCTAACAGATGCTAGGGAACTTTTTAAAGTAGTTTTTTTTACAAGTATTAAACTTCATCTTGCACATTGAAGTCATCATACATACAGGGCAAACTCAGAGCTTTTATATTTGTGTTTATTCTTCATTTAACTTTTAAAACACTACTATAGTTGAATATTAAAACAAAAACAATAGCCAAGTAGTGAGCATATTATGATTACAGTCCTTCCCACATTCACTACTGCATATAGAATGACAGAGTAACTGGCCCATTAAGAGGTCTGACACTGAACGCCACCTCTGGGGTGATGTTCATCGTCCTCATATGCTTCTCCGTTATAATGCCGCCGTCTTTCCTGGTTTGGATCAAAGTCCACCAGTTCTACCTGATCCATTTCATCAGTCTCTTCTACTTCCTTCCTTTCAGGAAGGAGTTTTTCCAGCAAAGAGAGTTTATCAGGAGAGAGAAAGCCGTTTTCAGGAAAGTTCACCTGAAAAAAAAAAAAAGAAACTGCAGTTAAGTTTGATCTTATCATTAGATCCTTTAAGTACACTGGAACTATTTCCCTCAGAAAAACATGCATTTACCCATTTCTTTAGTTATTTTTTA